ATATCCCCAGTCACACTCAGCTAAGCTTTAGCATCCCTCCTGCTGCTCTAGCCTACGTGTGCTCTTGACATCCATCTCTATGGAAAAGGAAAATGAATGGTCAACTAATTTTTCAAGCACAGCCACCTTTTCCTTCCTGAAATCTAACATAGCCAACTTTCTATGGTTTAATTCCAAGATTAGCAAATGAGAATCCATTTCCAGCATCAGTTAGTAGGACCTGGACGTGTTTGATCTTGGCTTTTAGTTATACGCTAACTCTTTAACTAAGATGGTTACATTTTCTCATTGCTATTTGCATCAAACCCTGCAGTTTTAATCATCAAACCGAACCTTGGAGCTGTAATAGCCCCTGCTTTAATAAAGATAAACCCATCATCAAAGATCAGCTATTGCATGAATCGGAGTTCTCTGGCTGGCTTAAAGTAGATAGTATGATCCAAACCAAAATATGCAACTAACATATAAATGATGAAAGACGGTGAGAAATAGGTCTTCATGCACACTCAGGAGACAGGCCACAATACTGTGTCTCATCTGGAGACAACTGCAAATAGACTGATCCCTTTGAGTGCCAGGGGATCTCTCCTGTCACACTGGCCTAAGTGGTCTTGCCTAGTCCCCTGCTGCTACACCTGCCTCAACAGCCACTCTGAGGGCACACTTGTATGATGCGGGAGGGAATTGTGTACACAGCTGTGAACATTGAGGGCTTTTTAAAGCACTGCATGCAAGCAGGAATTAAAGGATCAGATCACTAACCAGAAATATGGACTAGTAGTGGGCTTAATCAGCTCCTTCAGGCCTTAATCAGGTTAGATGTGAAGTGGTTCCCACAGATGATCTGCTTGAGAACATGCAAATCATAACTATCCAGTTATTACAAAAAGTCAAACTTAAAAGAGGAAATAGTTTGTCTTCTGTTTAATTTGACTCAAACCTAAAGGCAAAACTGCATGTTGAATCTCTCAAAAGCAACCAGAACAACAAGATTCATCTTCCCAAAGCCGTTTTATGGAAGATTTCTCCTCAGTGTTGAAAAGGGAAGAAGCAAATGAAATTTCTTTTCTACAAACATTGCACGTATTTTCTTTAATGTTCTTTAATGTTTACCATCCACTTATCAAAACACTACACAACATTTGACCTTGATATTAAAATTACCTGGAGATTAAAAGCAAGCACTAAAAATAGGCATGATATTCATATAGTCCATTATAGTAGACTACATAGTACTGACACTTTCCAGTGGAGACAGGACCGAACCAAACTTTAGGTTCGCACATCAGAGCAAGAGAATAAAAGACAAATCAAGAAAAGAAAAAAAAAAAGTTGAATTCTGGGCTCAGATCGCAGAGCCAGGTCTACCAGGAATGTTTCTGATTCTGCTAAAGACTTTGATACTTGAATGTTAGGTACTCTTGATGCTATGGGGAAAAAAAAGTGCTCTTTAATCCAAAAGTGAACACTGAGGTGAGTTTGCTATGTAAATGAAATGAGAACCCCAGGAACTTTAAAATCTCAGGAACACACTGCTATCTTTGGGTAAACATTTGTTTGTAATATCTTTTTAAAATAATACTGTCAACTTCAGTGATTGACGATTTCACCCCATTTATCACTGACAACTAGAATTATTTTTTCAGCTGTGGATCATGTTAATTGTGGAAGCTAATAGACAGGAATGTGAGGTAAATGGTCTCAATACCTTTAATATAAGTGATGACTTTACCAGACTTGCAGTACTGTATTTACTGTAACAAAAAGGTCATGCTCTATATTTTAAAGGTAAACAGTGAACTTCTCTGTATCAGTCACACTCCTGCAAATTATGTACAAAAACATTTGTGGAAAAGGCAATTAGGATTTTCTCTCTCTCTCTTTTTTTTTTTTTTAACTTAATTTCATATGCTTGAGAAAAGGCTATCAATTTAAATTAACACAAGTATAAATCAGGGAGGATTACAGCTATCTGGCTGGCAAACAGGGCATTTTGGTAAGGGTAAACTAAGGCTGTTGTAATTTACCTTACTGACAATGAATGCTCTTTTTTTCTCTGCAGCAAGGTAAATATTGAGGAAATGGTGAGACTGCATTGTGCGTTTCAGTATTAAATAGAAGGGCAATTTCATAGATACTATGGTTTAGACATTGTTAATTTTAAGTGGTGAAATCCCATTCACATCTTAAATCACTATACATGTGAACTCTGTAATAAACCAGTTCTGATACAGTTTTGTTAATAGATATTTGCTGCTACAAGCATTAATTTGAAAGGTATACAATAACGCTACATAGGAGTTCAAAAAAAGGAATCTTTTGGAATTAAGGAAAAGGAATAATTTGGGGGCATAACATTCTCTGAGAATATACTATTAAAAATGTTGGTACATACAGTCTGCTATGATGTGTAAATGATACTTTTATCTTTTATTTCAAAAAACAGAAAGATATATATTAGCGGAAAATGGGTATGTGCTTTCAAGTGAATGTGATAAGGTGACACTGGAAAGGAAATGCTGCTTTACCACGTGCTAACATAATGCGGAATGCATTAATTTCTATAAAAGTAATTTTAAGAGTGCCAACCTTAAAACACAGCAGGAAAAAAAAATGCTTTAAAGGGGCTGTGTCAAAGTTGACAGGCCCAAAATGTAACCTACCATAAAATTAAACTTTTTATGAAATGGCCTTTTGATCCTGAAAAATCTATCAACCTTCCAAATTCAAGGCTGTCACATTGTTAAAATACCAGATACTTTGCTGTGTGGACATTAAATTTTGGTCTGGTTTTGCAACATGTATATGCAAGTCATGATTTTGCTCTCTCTTTCACATTATCTTTGGGACTATGCAAGAAATTCATAGCATTTAAAAAGTCCCAGGTCTTTTATTTGGGATTTTCATGACTTAGAATTTCAGTTAGCAGTAATTTATAACAAAGCTATAACATGAGACCTCTATACTCCAAAGGTAAATGTCTCCTAATAGGAGGACAGTTGTTCTTCATTCACGAAAGTTGCCAAACAACAAAAGGATTTATATTTATCTCGTTTGACTTAATGCATGCAACTACTTTCCAGTGCACGCTGAAATGCAATAAATTATAGTTATATGACATAGTAAAAAAAAAAAAAAAAAAAGAACAATACCATTTCACTTTTTCAAGGTGACAGGTTAAAAAAAGAGTATTGTGATTGCTGGTTTTATTTTTTTGGCCTTTCTAGCTCAAAACCTAATAGGGAGAATTGAGAAAATTAATTCTGAATTGTTCTTTTTATATTGCACATAATCATAATAGATAAACTATAATTCATGTCAAACTTACTAGCATGTGGGCAGGTTCAATAATACATAAGGAATTTTCATAGGAGAGGTAAAGTTTCTTTATTTAGAAATTAACTACACAACAGCTTTTCATTACAAATATGCTTCTTATCAAAAATAAGTTTTTTTCAGGCAATGATTTTCTCCATTCCCATAACAGTAGGATGGTTGGGCATAGATTACATGTCACCCCTCCTCCTCACACCTTAAATACCTGCTTAATTTTTCCTATTTATCCGAAATGACCACAGGACCTTTTGCTAAGGACTCTTACGGATTTTACTGTAAACCTGCCAACCAGATCATTACAATCTGTCCCTTCAGTTTTCATAACCTTATTGCCATAGACAATTGGAGTTGCATAGACTGTTAGCACCAATATTGACATTTAAAAACCTACCTTCTCCAGACAGTTTCAGTGATGTAAAAATGAAGGCATATGTAAGACAGATTGTAAGTGGAAGTGCTCAACATGCTTGCTGCACAAACACTCATTCCACAAATGAGGCTGTCCTGAATATATTCCATCCAAGCACACCAGGATACCACACATTACATTTTTCTGTGAAATTTGGTGAATAAATAAGGAGGATACACAACATACTTTTGGCTTCTTAAAAAATAACTGGAATGAAAGCTAAAATATATTCTAAGTAACTAGGATTAAGCACAATTTTCTGAAATTAGACCTGATCTTCAGCCCAACCCACACAATAAAGTTACTCAGCTCACCCATGACGGCTGAGGATTGAGGAGAAATGATCTTTATCTAACAAAATTCAGGAGCCCTACTTGATTTCAGGGGTCCTTTTTGACTCCAGAGACTGAAAAGGTACAGTTTTTGTTTTCACGTAGGAGATGGGTTCTCTCTCATCCCTGTGTTAATCTAGGTCCTGGATGACTAACCCCACAGCTGACACAAACAGATGTTTTTACTTGTTTGAACTATTAGGTCAAAGGGCTAATGAGCTAATGAAAATTCTTTAAGGATCTATCAAATGAGACACGATTAGTAGACTTTCAGTCCCTATTTATATGAAAGAAAATATTCTGTGTTTACAAATCTATTTCCATCCCAGTCTTGCTAAGAGGTAGATTTAAAAATAATAAAATTAAAAAAAACACACATACCTCAAGAGCTGAATCAGGAACCTCCAGTCTGGCTGAGCAGTGCTGTACTTCCATCAGCTGTGTTATAACTTGCACTATGAGTATCTTTTCTACTCAGTTTGTGATAGAATAACATTAAGATTACGTTGTCTCAGCAAGTTTTTAATTCTCCCCCATAGTATTTTTCTCTGCTCAACTTTTTAAATGTTTTCCCTGGTATATGTCCTGTACCATGTCAACATATTTAAAAATATGTTCTAGTCGTATAAACATGTCCCTCAATTTAACACTGCGATAACTGTATGAGGATTATTCCAAGTTGTGTTCCAGCAATAAATCCACAAAGCATTTCAGAAATATTTCCAGAGTAACAACACCTTACTGTGGAAATAAATCAACCAATTTTTAGAGGTGTACGTGTATCTATGGATAATTTAGCAATTATTATACAGCAAACATTTGTTTTCATCTAGAAGTAAATAACTCATTTCGAAAATTCCATATCAAGGTAATAAACTGTGCTCCCAAACTGGTTAATACTGAAGAAATCCAAACTTAGCAACTCAACTCTACACAGTGTTTATTTTCATTTTGCTTTTGATAGTGGAAATCATGTATAAATCACAAACAGTACAAGTTTTTCATGTCTGGCAGTTGTCCACTTGAATGGGTCAACTACTTTGTATAGACACTATTTTTAGTATAAAGTCAAGATAATATGGCAGTTAACTAATACTCTCAACTACAGTAAAGATACAAACTTTTGTAATATAAATTAATTGCCATTACAAAAAGGCAACTGTATTAACTAATACGGTACAAAAATCTGCAACTTCTATAAATATAATGAAATGCAAGAAGGTAAATGAAATAATACATCACAGATTTTTGTAAAGCGCATTTGAATAAGCAAGCTAAGATACACATGGAACATTATACAGCAAGAAAGAATATCAAAACCCACTAAGATTTAACTTTTCTTTCCATACAAATGCTAGAAGTACAAGCACAGGACACAACATGGAAGCAGTAAGATTACCAGCTGAGAAGGGGTAGACAAAGCAAGTCTTACTGACAAGTTGTAAAGCGTTAGGCAGCAGACAGAAGCTTGTCAAAACCAGCTGTTGTTGGATACTGATTGATAATGTTTTCATTCTGACGGCTGAAACATTGCAGACAGCCACAGGTCTGAGAAGAAGCCCAATGTGGGCACATACGCATACACACACATACACACACAAAGTAATTCAACAGATGTCTAAAGAACATTAAAGCACAATATCTTTTTTAAAAAGACAATGTTCACTCCTTAATGAACTTGCATGGAAAGTAGGGCCTAGTGCCCAAGTTTATTTCATCTAAATGATGAACATGTGTGAAAAGATAAAAAAGCAAATAAGACTGGTCATCTGAATAAAAACTGCATGGTGCTCACATACTGAACCACAGCCATAGTATTCAAGAACACTTTAGAAAAGGATGCGTGACAGGAGTTGCTACGGACATTTTTAATCCCTCCATAAAAACGTGAAGGTGTTTAGACATTAAAAAGGTACACAACCATTTAAGTCCATCCACAACACAAAACCACAAAAGAACTACATTCAAAGTAAAGTTAAGCGTTGGTCTTAGCCATAATCAGTTATGAGGTATTGTTTCAACCTATCGTAAGGAATGATCGCTATATTAGTAAGAATAAGCATATTTAAAATCATTATGAAAACAATTACTGCTCCTGTGCAGTTGGTATTTTCCTAAAGAAAAAGCATTAAGCATCAAAAGGTCCTTGTCTAACTACGTTGGCATATGCCAAAGCCATGTCTCTTTGACTAGTTGGGCCTTTTAGATGTTAGCCACGTAGCACCTTCCAACAGTGCATAGTTGGGAAATCATGACCAAAATATAAATCAAAACCCCCAAAATCTTTGGGCCAGACTCACTGATGGTACAAATAAGTACAGTTCCAAGAATTCCGTTCAGCTGGGATTATTTTCACTTGTGCCTTTGGTCCCTCATTTTAGTATGGGAAAGAAGGGCAAAAATAATAAAAAGATTTTACCTCTCACCTTCTAACTAATGTTAAATGAAAAAGCAGTAAAATTTTCCTCTTTTTAAAAAAATTAAAAAAAAAAATTCCTCTTTTTGCCTCCCCAAACTGTCTGCCTTCTCCTGGGAAATACTTCTCTCACTCCTCCCCAACATTTCTCACTTCTTGTTGTCCCTAACTGGGACAGAAATCTGGGGACCTTGTGGCAATCTAAGGATTCTGTATTTACTCATGTTAGCTAAGAAAGAGAGTCTGGAGCTCTAAATCAGATCCAGTTCCTCTTTAAACTTAGGAAGAGGAGCTTCCTTAAGCCACACAAGAGAAACTGATGGGCATCTGGGTTGCTTCTAAATTGTACAGAGAGAACTGGAACCAAAATAGGGCTCCTCAGCCTGTATTTTAAAATGAGCGATTCCAGTTCTTGGGTGTTTCCAAGAGTCTGAGGACTGAGGAGACTGACCTGGCAGGAAAGAGAAGAAAAATGAAGCAAGAAGAGATGTCCTTCAGGCTTATGAGCAAAGCTTTCTGGCTATTCTATTATAAAATTAAACAAGGAGCTTACCAGTTTTCCCAGCTTCATTCTGATAATAGGAAATGAGCTGAAAGAGTGATTATCAGGCCATTAATTTGGGCAGATATAGTTCTGAAGGAGCAAGCCAAGAAATCCATGGAAATTAAAAAGTAAACAAAGACCTATAAAAACATTTTGTTTTAAAAAGAGTATAATTACAAATAATAGAGAAACAGCTTTTATAAGCCTTTATAAGCTGATCCTTGCTATTTCTTTATTCTCAAATAAACTAGTGAGAAACTAGAATATACTTTAAACTTAAAAAATAAATGTTCAGAGTGGAAGGATATGCTGCTTAAAGCCTTGAAAAATGGTTTACAAATTTTAACGCGTAAGAAGTAGAATCAATGAAGGACCATTGGCACATCACTACAGTTTGGGTTTGCAGGCACTCATGCACATGGGGAGCTGAATGCACAAGGCACAACATTCAAGGTGTGCACCAGTCCAGTGACTGGTTGGCACATACACTGTTGTGACTGACTTAATTGTGAGTCACTGACCTGGCACATTTCTTTATCAGACCAAAATGGTTTATATGGTTTTAAAAACCAACAGAAGGCAGTCAAAAACCTGCAAATCTACAATGGGGAAAACTTGGAAAGAGGAAATATGCACTGTGTTACAGGAACCAAATGTGATTTTTCCAAATGTATTACAAGTGTTGTACCCAATGAATACTATTTTGTCTTCTAAGTAACACGCAGCTCAGAGGAAGTTTTAGAGAACAAGTTATAAACTCTTGAAAAGAGAAGCTTATAATACAAACACTGGCAGGCCCTTAATTACGGTATAGATGCCTTGGCACTGTTATGATAACAGTAGTACTCTATGAGCAAATGATACAGGAGGCAATCCTTATTTAAAATCGTTACACTTCCAACTAGTAACAAAGCATGCCTCCACAGCTGATTTACGAGACTGCTTTGCTTTTCTTCATGAAAAACTAGTTTCAGTGAAAGTTGTTACTTTATCCCTCCTCTGTGTATTTTCTACAATATTATTACTTAGACCATCTTTTTTGTCACCTATTCTTAACAAATACTGTTACATGCACATACATCTGTGCCTTAATTTCCTCTTCAGGAAACTTCCACCAAAATAATGTTTTATGTCTTTGACAAGGTTATGCATTACATTTTAGAAGAGGACTCAACCAACACGTCGATTATATTTTCATTTAGTAAAACTCCAGACTAAACTTGTGCATTAACAAGAAACTCCTTGCTTTTAAGGTATCATACATCAAGATTCTCAGTGGCTGTGCTTTCTAGACAGACTGTGGGGGTCAGTAAACAAGCTAATACAAATTAGTCTCACAAATCCCTAAGACATTAGTTATTTTTAAAAGCCAAGGTAGCAGGCAGAATTCCTCCTTTATAGACTATGTTATTTTTGTGCGTGCAAAATTTCCTATCAAGGATGATGACAATGCAAGAAAGCAACATGCAGTGTGCAGAACTAGTGGTAAACAAAGAGGAACTCCCTATTTCAGTAGTGTAGACACCTTTACTGGAAATAATCATGTACCTGATTCACAGAGTATTTAATTTACCAAAAGGGTATTCTGCACTAACTGCGTATGAACAACATATCATAGCACAGTCTTGATATCACACCATAATTAAGCTGTGAGCAGAATGAACAGGTACAGTGATGAATGGAGAACCACTTTTCTCTCTTGTGTTTCACATTCTTGAAGGTTCGAAGTCTCTCTCTTCTAATAAGTTTATTAGAAGGGAGAAGCTGTCTTTTACTGCCTCCATATCATCCAAGGAGCAGGGTTTAAGAATCCAGCGCTTTCCACGTGCAAGTGGCTCAAGTTCAAAATATTTTTTGATCTATTAAAAAAAAAAAGACAAATCTGTTAATAACACAGTGATAATATACGTTGTTTCTCTCATCTAAAAAGCAAAAAACAAAATACCAACCCAAACCAACATGTAAAAGATCAAGGGTACTCATTTTTAGAATCTTACTCACAGCTGTTCTTATAATATAGGTTATATGTTGTGACCTGAAAGTGTTTTCTTTAGGGGTGAGTGACCTGCTTGGAAGCTACCATTCTACCAATACATTTAACAGCATGGGAGGTCTGGGAAAGAATTATACACACTTAAGGCAGAGCAAAGCACATGAAGCAAGTGCTCAAAAAAAAAAAAAAGAAAATTCAAAAAACGTGGCAAAACAGCAAAAATAGCACTAAGAGGTTTTAGGTGAGGTTTGTATTTTAACATGAAAGCTGTATGTTTCATCATACTGTTATTGGTAAACATTTAAGATACAGAATTTGTTGCCAAACTAATCTAACAACAGTAACTGTCAAAAAACTACAAATCTTAAACATTCCATTCAAAGGTAAACTACAGTAGGAGGTTTCTTAACGACCGTGAGAGCGCTAGAAAAATAATTCCTCCCAAAACTTTTGTTCTTAATTAAACAGACAAGACTAGAACACTAATTTGATTAGAATAAGTATTATATGCGAGATATGATGGTTTCCTATGATGGTCTTCATTCAGAATCCAGTATATTCCAGGGGACTTAAACTACTTACTAACAATAGGTAATAATGGCTATGAAGAAAGAAACCCTTTAACTAAACTAATTTCATTTGTATTTCTGCAGCAACCATGCAGCAAGGAGGCACAGAATAAGATGCAACATAGAGTTACAAGTTATAAGGCTATTATAAGCCTTGACAAAATATACTGAGGAAGATGCAATTTCTTGGAAAGACCAATCATCATGGACACTAACTACACCAAATATCAAGTCAGAAATGCAGACCCACCAAAAGAATGTGGAATAAGAGAGTTTAACTTGGTATCATACTCCAATAACTTTTCGAATTAGCAAGTACAGTGTCAAATTTGATTTCTGACCCTATTAATGCTTCTAAGAAAAAAACAGCAGTTTGCAGGCTGTTCTGATCAGTAGTTTACATTAAGCTGTTTTCATAAAACTTTTAGTCTTTGATAGTATTTGATCCAATAGTCTACTCACTTCTGACTTGTCAAAATAGACATTTAGTTTTTACATTGAAATTATATCCATCAATACTTGGTACTGTCAACAAACCAACGGAAATATTTGGTCCTAGCTTAGTATGCACATTCTTGTTCCTTATATTTCCTGCCAAAATATTCTTAATTTTCTCCTATCACAGACTGAGCCACAACTATGCACAACAACGGGAGCAGTTACTTGTATTATGGTAGGCAGCAGAGGCCCTAGACAGGCAACTGGAGCCGCACTGTGCTAGGCTGCCTGCAGAAAACAGAAAAAGGCTTCAAAAGCCCAAACAAGCTGCGAAGTGTCTGTACAGCTCTTTAGAGTATCTATACAATACTTTTATTTATCTAATGGAAGAAACCAATTGTAGTTGTATTAACTGTCATAAATCACAATTCAGCTGTGACAACAAGGCAGGAAGGGTTTCTTATACTGTCCAGAAAAGAACTTTGATCAGAGCGTCTAGTAACAGAATCATCAGAAAAAAACTGTGGTTTTGAGACGAGAACTACGGCTGTGGACAGAGACATGCGGAACTGGAAACGCACTCCCCCTTAGAAAAATAGCAGAAAAAACAAAAATGGAAATAAACGGGTCCGATAACAACCAGTATTTTAATATTAATGTACCTTTTCCTTAGTGCTACTCTCACACTGACACAGCAGAAACTGATATGGTGAGCATGGTTACATGTGATCAAAATATAAACACTAATCCCCAGAAGGGATACAACGTGATGTCTTCTGTAGGTGAATTGACACCCTGTTCAATTCACCCCCTTTAACATATGAAATTAATGGCACTGATCACAGCAGTCGAGTAGCAGGGTATGGAGGCACTCTTGCCAGTTTTAGCAACAGCCTCCTTGACTGCTAAACCGGGGGGAAGTGAAAGCTGCACAAAACACAACAAAGCGAGGTGTCAGTGTAACGAGCTGATGAAGTAGCCTGCTGGTGTTAAGCTGACAAATATGGCTGAGTAATTTGAGATTTTTCGGACCTGTAACCTAGAGGATGTCCACCACACCCCCCCTGCTGGAAGACTATTGCCATCAGCCCCCTGAGTTCACTGAAGTCTGTCCACAATCTTATTTTCACAGCCTCTGCAAATAAGGCTATACCATATGAAGAAATGATTAGGAAAAGGTCATTACGTTTTAATGAGAGTACTTAGGTTTAAAAGCATTAAACATCTAGAAATGCATACATAAGGAAATGATGGCAGTAAGCACAGTAGCACTGAGTCCTGTGCACTTGTGAGCAAATACAACACTGCTTACCAAGGTAGCCTCTAGCCAAGAAAAACACAGGGACTTTATGCTATATTTCATTGTCGGCAGACTCCAAGATATAACTGCTATTTCAGCAGTAAAACAGCATCAAGTTATTTAGTAAAATAAACTTTGCATAAAAATTATTTATTTGGCTCTGCAATCCTGATTTTTTTAAAACTATTTCTTGGTGTGTAATCAAAATGTAATAATATCAGCATGGTGATGTCATCATTTTTCATATCTGACCCTCGAGTCAGAGTCTCTGCAATAACAAGTCCTGAATGAACACTAAAATTAAAAGCGATCATTAAGCAGTGGCTTTTGAAATGAGAAGTTTTCATAACGGCATCGTAGCACAACGGTTTGTATCCACCTAAGTAACAGCTATTTTAGCGATACCTACAGAGAAGAAATTTGCTAGATGATTTGTCGCTAAACCAAACATAGGAAAAGAACAAACACTAATCGGCTCACCAATATACTTAATAACGAAAACAGAAGTAGCACAGAAGTGATCTTCTACAACCCAAGAGACACTTTATGGTATGTTACTGTATTTCCTCATCTAAAGTTCACACTATAATGGAGTTTACTGAACACCAGAATTTTGCAAATCGGCTCTGCTGTTTTGAAACTTCCAGAAAGAAGTCTGCAGATACACATATTTTCTCCTGTAATTTACTACAACGATCCCCCTTTAAAACAGAAGCCATTCAGTTCTAAAAACAACTATGTTTTTTCAGACTCAAAAAGGAACCCTCTGTCACACACAAGAGCGAGAACAATTACACGAAAGCAGACCAGCACAATCAGATGCCCGATGCTGTTTATACAGTTGCGTTTTCCAATGCTCTCTCAGCTCTCCATCCGCTTTCCTTCCCGTTTCCCTGGAGCTGCTTTCTGCCTAATGGTCATTAGTCATGCTTCTTCCTTACTGGATTTTCTGAAGAGGATGCCATCCTCTAAACCGTCACCAAAATGTCCAAGGGAAGCTGAAATTCTGTGACCACTTTACCCAGTAGCTCTTGCAGATTCAGACAGTCAGCAGCAACTCTTTTACAGCTTCCTTAACTACGCTAGTACAAAAGAGGTCTGTCAATAAGAGGTACTCTTTGTCTTCCTCTGTTGTGTAGCTGGTGAGAAGCTTTCTGCCTGTTTGTGGATGCTGAGGCAAAGTAGGAAGACTCAATATACTTCATATCACTGACACATTAGACATGCATTTACACAGTAGCTTTGCATAATCATATATTTACTTGGGGACTGCTAAGTTTTTAAAATAAAACTGTAGAGGAAGACACAATCAATTAAATTCTCATTATTTTAAGATGTCTTTACTACTACTTTACAGGACCTTACTGTAAGTCTTGACTCCACATGGGGGCCTTGTTTTATAGGGAAGTTGACGTTGTATTTTTGCTACATTTTGAAGTCAGTAAAATCCAACAATACACGTTTGCAATTATTCCCTCTCTTCCCGCCCTCCACCTTCTAAGTCCTATTCTACTGGCAGAATACCCTTAGGAAATGGTTATCAAATGTTGCTTAATCTATGTGCTAGAAAAGTCAAGACACAATAAAAGCACTGATGCCCAGAACCTCAGCTGGTGTAAATTAGCAGAGCAGTGTGGAACTGATGTTACTAAATTGATCTACGTAAGCTGAGTAACCAGTTGCGCTGAAAGCTTTCACATGTTCCATTACAGAACCTCATCTGTCCAGTTCACAACACACACAAATATAAGAAAATCTAGTCTCTCCAATATATGACTAAAAAGTCATTTCTGGTTTTTACCCCAAATTAATAAAACCTGTTTGAAAGTATTACTTTTAATCAGAATTCAAAATGCTAATTCCAAATTTCATCAACACTTAAGAAAATTCCAGTCCACTCTAATTAATCTGTTGTAAACAAATGTATGATACAGACAGTAGCATACACTAGCAGGCTTTATTCAGAGAATTCAGTGAACGAAAAAATTTGCTGTTATATTGAACATTTTTACTGGGAACACTGGAATAAAAATAATTGTAATAAAACGTGTACACGATACCTAATCAAAAGCAGCACAATCACGTCATCCCTAAGGCAGTGTTCCCACTGGTCTGGATTCTTCACAGACTTTTACTGGATTAAGCAAGGGCACCTACAAGCAGGTGACTGGTCGAGATAAAGTAAACTAAAATATCCTAACTTGCTGAGTTCATAGCATTAACCACTAAGGAATGGTTCACTCATTTACCCCAAATCTGCATGGAAAAGAAATGCAGTAATAAAGGGAGATTTGAGTTCCCCATGTGGACAGAGGAAATGCTTCATTGGACTGTGATGCTGAGATTACATTTTCAGACATCATAAAAATCTGCCTTTTGGAGCAATCGTTCAGAAAATGCAAGAGAAAGAGGCAATTTTTGTTTGTACCCTGAGCACATGAACAGCAAAAGAGCTGGCTGTAACAGTGACCAAAGCATGCTCATATTCAAAATATCTGGAGAAGAGAAAAAGCCAAAAAAATCCATTATGTAACATTAAGTCTTAAAAAGGGAAACTAC